GGATGCTGTGGAAGTGCCAGGATAAGGTTGTCCTGGCGATTTCTGACCATATGCCACGGGGAAGATATTCATTTTTGGATTATTACACGTACTAGATGAAATTAAGACGACAAATTGAGTTATAAATCATCATATAGATCTAGATTTGTTGCATCTGAAAACTTACACATTATAACCAAAAAGAGTCCTTACTTTCAGCGGTCATTAAGCCCACTGTGCAATAGAGCTGCTCATTTATTCAAAGTTATTGAGTTGTTGGCATCAATTTTGCATATACACGTAAGTGGAAAATAGAACGCACCGTTTTGTGGTTCGCTGGCAATTTTCGAGCTCCACCGCGTTAATGCTAATCTGGTAAAAATAAACAACATTTCGGGCCAAATCGATGGGTAGGCCATTAGGCCAATTGCTGGTCATTGTCATTTGGATCGCAGCAGATTTTAAGGAATGGGGGGGGGACTGGGAGAGCCCAGCCCCATCAACATTCCGGGTGTTTGGCTTATTTGCAAAATTTGTTGACACACAGACCTCCCCAATCGCGAACGGAACAAGCAATCAAGGAGCGGCAGCAGCTTAGCAGACTTCCGCCAAGGATAACGGGCGACGCCCAAGGATGCCGCCGGCAGACGCACCGCCCTACAAGGTTTTATTTACACCTTCTGCGAAAATGTTTACACTTCAACAGGCAGCGGCAATAAGAGGAGGCTGCCGCCCACCTCTGCGCAGGGAGCTGCTGAAATGAGCAATATGTAAACCTCCAGGACGCCAGAGGCAGATACCCAAACAATTGAAAGTGGATTTCCACCTGGCGAAAAATTGCTCAAACAGAAGCGAAAAAAACTCATAAAAATAGGGAAAATGCTAACGGCCCTTGCATAATGCCAGGATGTAAGAGGGATGCGAACTAGGACTACGAAGGACCGGGTGGAGCGTTGTCATAGCGTAAATTTATGTAAAAATTTGTAGCAATTGCAATAAGCTCGTCGTCGCCATCGCCGTCGGCGCTAAGGAGCATAAAATTTGCGTGCAGGACCAGATAAATTCCTTCGATTCAAGGCAGTTCTTTATGCGCATTTTAAGTGTGGACCGAGGAGTCGCAGCTCCGGGGGGCTCACCTCTGGGAAGGCAGTCCCATTGAGGGACTGGCTCTGTTTTATAAGGCAGAGATATCACTTTATTTTAAATGCATTAAGAACTTTGGCAAAAACTGATTACAAAATTTGCTCAGCCTTTGTTTGCCCAGCGCTTCATGATGTCTGAACCCGAGCAGGCGAAGCCAATGATGTACAGGACAGAGATGCCAGGACTGTGGAAATTAACTCCCAGCTGGCAAATGCCTCGGAGTGCAAATATTGAGCTGAGTCGAAGGCTTTTGACTGCCTCAATCTCCGCCAACTACCCGACTACCCCAAGGAATGGCTAAGAAGCGCAGGATTTCATAAAATTCACTTGGGAAACTGTTGCCCACTGCCGTCGCCTGTTATTTTTGGCAATCTGTTTGTTTGCCGATTGTCTGTCAGTTATGCTACTTATGCCTCATCCTTTATTCCCAGCAAAAGTCCCTTGGCTCGTCCTGATTTAATAAGAATCCATTTTATCCGGCCGTGCCTCCTGCTCATCGCAATTAACATAATTTTTGTAAGTGGATTTTCATAGTTGAACAATCATCGGCCCGCGGCATTTCAGAAAACTTTAAATTTCAATTCACTTAAGCTTTCGCGAAAGGAGAAACTTTCGCCGGGCCATTGAACCCAGGACAGTCGAAATTTTTGCAATGGGTCTTCGAATATTCAGCTCTTGGACCCCGAGAGACTGCAAATATAGTTTGACGCCCCTTCGCCTTTCTTTTTCCGACAGTGTTTGCCACCCGAGGGCGTCATTTGCATTCCAACTGTGTGCGGGGCTAAATTTGTGATTTCGATTGCAGATCGCCGCCAAGCGAGTTCGAATTCAAATTCGGCCAGACTTTGCTAACCCACAGAACGGAGATCGGCTTCCCCCGATTTCGGGGTTAAGGTCTGGCCAAGACCCAATTAAAATGTAGGGGGAGTCGCTGGCAATGAGTTATGATGTAATCAAGAGAGAGTCCGCTGGAAGTGACAGCTATGAGCAGGTCAACGAACCCGCCTAATCATAACTGGGAACTGTCTTTCATAATAACCATGAATCGGTAATTGGGCCTTAGACTTTTTCGCCACTCATTAATATTCCCTCCTCTTTTCGATCGATTAGCATATCTAACCCAATTTCGCGGTCCCCAATTTTCAGTCTTCCCTTTGGTTGATCGAAACCCAACTCGATTTATTTTCTGGCATAATGTATGCGCCGGTTATTCCAAAAGAACTCTATTTAAATGCAATTTGGAAACGGATTTAAACCGGCAATGGCAATAGAATCGCGTTTTATTTGTGCACCTGATGGGAATTAAAGATTTGTGGCCAGAACGACTCCACCCCCTCGCTCGGAAATCCCCAGCCCGAAAACCCAAGTCAATCTGCGACAATGTGACAATAATAATTGATAACCTTAAAGCCGAAAAAACCGCGGATCGCATCCATTTTATTGGTTGGAGCTGACTTTCGACAAACGCCGAAGGTGAAGCGAACCAAATAAATTCAACAAAAGTCACTCAAATGTCGATAATTGAAATGCGTATACAGCAAATACAGAAAATAAGCAACAGAACAGAGCAGGACAGCAAAAAAATTAACATTTTTATATAACAAATTTAATTTGGACAATTCAACCGATACGAAAATTGCATACATTTCATTTTCAGTCACCTGTCGAGGGGACAGCAGAGAAGTGGAATGCTTTCGGCGGAGAAAGGGACTTGTGTTGACCCTAAACTGAGGCGAACGGCTCAATAAAACTCTCACAAAAGCCTGGGAATTTTTAGACCTAATGCCAAGCGCTTCAGTTTCTGTTACCGTATCCATTATTCAGAGTAACGCTCTGACGTGTACTGTTCGCGCAATTAAGTTCGCGCCCCGAAATGATGTACTGAACGGGAAGCTCAAAGGAACCGCTCTCCTCTAAGTTATTGCACTTTTCTACGGAAGATTTATCGCCGGTTGAGGGCGATACTCCGCTTAGATATACGTATAGTGTGGGTAAAAAAGTTAGCTTTTTTCTCACTCATCAAGTGACTCATGGGCCTTAACGCGACTTTAGCTGCTGTCAACGACTCTCAGCTCGAGCGATGTGCAGTGCATCCTTAATTACAGAAACTCTGGAAGGGAGAATCCCCAAAGATTGCCCTTTCTAGGACTGTGCTCCAGAAAAATTTTAAATATTCGCAAGTTTTTATTATCGCCTCCAAACTTGTGCGAAAAGTTCCTGCTCCTTCAGTTGTATGCCTTATTACGTGGCATGTTTGGGTAATTCGGTGCAGTTAAACAAGGACCAACCATGCGGTTCTGCACTGAGAAAATGTTAATCTTAGTTCAAGAATAAAACTTACTATGACACCCTTCCATGCCTTTGTTCATTAATTCGTCTCGATTTTTTAAAGTTAAATTTCATATCATCATGGGTTGTGATAGTTAATTGTATGGTATATTGCCTCAAATGATTTTTGTTTATTCTCTGAACTCTAAACATATTGGCTATAATCACATCTTTTAGGAAATAAAGGGCATAAGAAGTAAATTAATCACAGTTTAAGCACAATAAAACGCTATATTCCATGGCCTCGACTACCAGATATCCGTTACTCAGCCAAAGGGAATGCGAGAGAGATGGAGATATGCATGCAGCAAATCGGCTGTTTCCGAGATTGTACACAACACTCCACCAAGCATCTATTCCTTTTTTTGCTTATAACTTATTAATGAATTATTGTGTAGATGTAGGTGGGTATTAAATTAACACATTTAAACATTTTCAAAATATTTAAAATGTGGGCGCGGCACTCAGATGATACAAACTTACGATGTGCAGAAACCCCAAGAATCTAAATGCTTAATACCAATTTTCAAGTATTTGTAGTTTTAGAGATCTCACCACAAACGACAGACAGACAGACGGACATACAGGACATAGCTAGATCGACTCGGCTAGTTATCCTGATCAAGAATATATATACAATACATGGTCGAAAAAGATTCCTTCTACCTCTTTTAAGCGGAGGTATTATTTGATACTATCAACAAATATAACAACCTTTTCACTCTACGAGTAACGGTTATAATATGAGTGCAAGTCATAACGCCCACTCAAAAGGTGTCACAGTCCCTCGGGCGTATGACACCATCTAAAAACATGTAAATTTCTAAAAACGTGAACATGAAATTTTATGAGAATACCGATAAAACCGCTCTCGTAATTATGTTGTCTCAGCACAGCCACTTTGTGCGTTCGAATATGATTTAACGCTGGACGTTTTGACATGCACTATGCACCAGTAAGAACCAATTTCTCCCACATAAGATTGGTTGGAAAACTTTAGGATGGGATCTTAAGTTTTATGACGTAACCTCCTTAGCCACCATTTAAATTTCCAGACAAAATCCCAGTCTTGGCCGGCGAATCCCTTCGATTTCGATTTCTAGGTGGAGCATGTTAACCTTCGATTTTCCCCGGTGTGGTACTGTGCTCAGGCTATCACCCCACGGATATCAGTCCAATCAGCGCGCCAGAATATGCATCTGCAGGGAGCTGCCCCACCCACACTCTAAATCATTGTCGTCTGTTGCTCATCAAGCAGCCCCTACGACGCCATTATCGTCGTCATCAATTGCGCTGCCGGTGGCTGCCTGCAGACAGCTTGTCACCGTCGGGTAAACATGTGAATTTCGCAGTCGAGCAGGCAAACACGTGACGAGGCGACGAAGGAGGATGCCGGGCCGGAGGAAGATGGCGGAAGATGGGCGACAATGACGACGTCAATCGTGCGACAAAAGGCAGTTTGAATACTAAAACAAGGCGGACTCGCAGCTTTATTGCGCTCCTCCAAATACAGGAGGCTCCGTACATAGAACACATAGGTTGTCCAACTCTCAACCGAGACTGAACCGCTTGAGGTTGTCGAATCCCTTCGACTTGTCGATGCGCCCGTAGATGGTGGACCTCACTATCATTCCGCTCTTGGGCTTCGAAATCGCCAGGCCGAACCGGAACTTGGCCTCCGGCAGAAAGCTGGGCAACATCTCCTCGTCCACCTTGTAGTTGGTGAGGGTGTAGGTGCCGCTCCGGATGGGGCACTCCTTGAAGAGGTTGCCGTGCTTGAGCAGGTCCTCGAAGATCCCGCGCACCAGCGGGTCCGAGCTGCGCTGCTTCAGCAGCTTGCAGAAGTTGAGGGTGCGGTTGATCAGGGTGGAGAAGTTCCCCTTGTCCGTCTCCAGGCCAATGTCGACCGCCAGCTCGACGTCCTCTATGTCCTCGAGGGTTTGATTTCCATGCTCAGCTTGGAGTCACCCGACTCGTTCTGCAGATCCACATGGATGTCCATGATCTTGTCGTTGGCCTCGAAGTCAATGCTCGTGAGGATGACCTTGAAAGAGCGCTGTCCCCGGCGGTTAGTCAGAGCTTCGACCCAGGCTTCTACCAGTCCCGCTCCAACTCACCCAGGCTCCGGTCACGGGCATGAGCACCACCAGTATCAGGGCCCAGGCACAGCAGCTTCGGGTGAACTCCTCGCGCATCTTGCTCCAATTATCCACTGGGACTGGCCCTTTTTCAATTAGTCACTTTTTATATGAATGCAATTAAGATTAGTCAGGCCCCGATGGTCGCCAAAGTGCTCCGGACATTATGTGCGGCACGTGGCCATGGTGAATTAAGTCAACTAAGTGGATGGACTTTGGAAAAGCATTCAGCTGTTTCAATGCTAAGTCAATTTTCGATAAGATCGAACACAAATTCGCCCAGCCTATTTCCATATAAATAGAACTCCGCCTGGCGAGAGCAGGCAGTGAAGTCGGTTTACTCCACTAGGTCCAAAATGTTGCTGTACACCCTGGTGCTGGCGCACGTCATCCTGGCCCTTTCCCATGGCTCCCTGGCTGAGGTAAGGCCTCGTGGAGTATGGCTGCAGTCTAATCCCCCCACCGCTTTTCCAGAAAATGATGCGGCCCAAGTTCAAGGAAATGAAGATCTGGAGCGACGAGAAGTTCCTCAGCCACAAGGTGGTCTACGACAGCAGCGACCCGCACCTGAACTTCAGCATGGAGGTGCACCAGGAGCTGCTCGACGTGGACGTCCACGTGGAGGTGCGCATCACCAACAAGCAGGACCCGCTCTACACCACCACTCTGAACACCACCCTGAACGTGTGCCGCATCCTGGGATTCGCCAACAAGTCCCCGGTGGGCCGCTTCGTGCACGGATTCATCCGCGAGTTCGGCAACATCGTCGAGAACTGCCCCATCGCCAAGGTGAGTGGACCGGGTTGCTAGTGCTGCGGCTCCAGCTGACCCTCCATCCCCTCTCGGTCGTGTTCCAGGGCCGGTACCGTTGGCACCGCATTCATTTAAAACGTCCATTGCAGGGCTCCTACTTCATCAACAAGTTCTGGTGGCCGGAGGACCCAACCACCGCCATCCTGCCTGAACTGGAGTTCGAAATCGTCTGGCAGGCCATGCACCTCGACGCCAGCAAGAAGCGCACTCTGGTCATGAACGATCACTTCAGCGGGGAGTTCGTCGTCCAGGACGTGAACAACCTCAAGCCTGGCATATTTGCAATGCTTCCCAAGATCGCCTAGAAACTCCGCTGGGCTCGTTTCTGCCCCGGATGAGCCACCCAGCTAAGTCGTGCGTCCCAACGGTATTTAATTAATGTTATTCATGTGTCACTTGGTGTTACCCAGAAAGCAAGCAAATAAACTTGCCCCATAAAGAGCAAATCTACGTAGCGCCTTAATGTGGCTTTCGAAACTCCGTGTACCTTTGCAACCGAATTAGTTTAATTGCCACGCACACTCTAATTCTCACAAGACGTCCTCAAACTTCAAAAAAACGTTTGTTTGAATTCTGTTGTCAGTCTGGTATGAAAAATTCTGTATTGATATGCTGGAAAATATCAATTTCATATGTTCGAAAATATTAATTTGATATAACAACATAAATGACCAAAATGAATAGGCAAAAAACCCAGATTGATGACCAGTTTTTACTCTGAGTACCGACACGCCGGAAATTATTAAAATCGGACCACATACGTAATAATTTACATTTAAAGACCATCGTCAATGACGTCACAACCAGTAGATAAAGTGAAAAGTATTTAAAGTTGAGGCACTCGACTATAGCGTGTCTTGTTAATTATTAATAGATTTATACCAGAGTGGTTGAGTTTGTTGTAAATTGTACTGCCTTAAAAATTGCATCCCATTCCATAAAAAAATAAAAACTTGGACGATTTTGCATAAAACAGCGTTTATTTTCAAAGGGAAATATCCCGATTTCGTTCGGATCCGGGGATGTCTTCTAAACTCGCCTAAAATTATCTGTGTTTCGTACAACCATCAATGTCATTTCGAATTAAATTTTTCAGATTATTCAATGCCGGGATCTGGACGTGCTGCTTTCGAATTTCGACACCAGGCAATTCGGGTTTTGTAGCATTCCCAAATTGAATTTAAATGGGACAACATAGCGGTAGGGGTTGGAGAGAAACAAAAGCCCACAACATCAAATTATTATTCAATATACTCGCAATGAAATGTTTGTGACTTGTGTCGTGCTTATTGTGATCCGACAGTGACAGTTTGCGAATTTTAAAAACGCTTTTAGCTATTTTTTATCCTATTGAAGGTGCCACTTGGTATGATTTATGCGAGTTTGAGTTTGCCGAGCTTTGGTTTTGGTTATTTGGTCATTTGTCGATTGGCATATTGATGCACCATCGGTGTTATTGAGGAAGCAATAAAACGACAGTAACAATGAGGAATGCCAAAAAGTTCTCGGGGCCTCTGTCTCCCTCCCGACTCGTTGGTTCCCAATAAAAATTTCAATTTCAATTACCGGGGATAATAGGCCGGGAATGAAAATACAAATCTCTGGACAAATCTGCCCCAAACAACTTTTATCAATTACCTGGCCAGAAGCCACCAAAAAAGAGGTGTAAAAGGGCGAGTTTTATTGTGCTCAGCTCTCGACCCTCGATCCAATCCGCACAATGCATTTGTTTTCACTTTGTTAAACTCGGAAAACTTTATCCCAGCCGAGGAAAAGTTCAGGGGTCAAGCCAACGGCCATTTAAGCTCCATTAGACAGGCACACAAAGCGACAAAACGCCTCGCTGCTCACTGAGCACCCAGTGTAAGGAAATTCATTGTCCAAGTCGCCCAGCTGTGCTCCCCTTCTCCGCCCCACGGATCCCAAAGGGTTTGCCTGATCTGATTGCAGCACAGTAAATCTTGAAAAATTGCCATTCAAAGCTAACGTTTTGAAAACATTCATCAATAAGTTGGCTGCGACTCAGCCCCAACAAGGAGAATTTCTCTAACGCGGCACTGAGGTTGCTGCACTGTCACACGAGATTCCTTTTTAAATCGGTTGAAAGGTTATCCAAAGTCGATTATTCGGAATATTTCTCTCAGTGAGACGGCAAGACGCACATATGCCACAGAGCCCAACAGCCGACCCGAACAGCACTCCAGCCAGCCAGTCAAATCTCCCCATTTGGCTAATAAATCCTTGAGCAGCTTATTGAGCAACGTCTGCGCATAAATATTATGGCTGGCAACTGGTCAGGGGAAGACTATGCCAAAGTGCCAGGAACGGTACCACGTACCCGTACTCTCAGTTTTCACTTGCATTCGATTCGTCTGCTCCCCGCTTTTTCCATTTCCGAGTTACTGCTCCTCGAAAGTTAAGCTTCGCATTCTCCGCTCGCCCGAACGTGTTAAATAAAACTCTATTAAAGATTCGAATATCCTACTTTAGGGTACAACTGCTACTGCATCAAGTACAATTTTAGAGAGGAAAAACAAGAAAGGAAAGAAACTTCGGCCAGCCCATGGCTGTCATACCAGCTTATGACTAGGCATTTTTTATAAATGCAAGTTTGTGTTTAAAATCTAAAATCGAAATAAAATGTATTGTTCTCGGTTTTTATAACATAAAATTCTTAACCCCAAAATATTGCAAAAAAATATTCCTTAAGCTATAATTTGTGATGGTGATGAAGAATATATTTATACTTTATATGGTTGGAATATTCTCCTTCACTGCCTAACCATCTTCAGAACAAAATTACAATACCCTCGGCAAGGGTATACAAACAGAGTATTACAAACTCGGGTCTTAGCTAAACATTTTTTACTAGTTGTCCCTCCTTTCTCGACTGGAATTCTTGAGCTGACATTGGATTTCGGTTGACTGTCGTGTTGGTATGCCTGGCCAGGGTTTTTTGGCCTTTGCTATGGTTGTTGTTGATTTCTTAAGTATACTCGCTGCACTAAAAGGATATGCAAATTGTTTGAATAGTAAAGGACATGCTAAACAATTTCAGAGCCTCGAGTCTATAGTTGAACAAACAAAAAGGAAACTAAGCTAAACAAAACATTTCTGTTTCCCGGCTGAATGTATTCTTTTTTATGGCTTTGCTTTCGGTTGCTGGTCAGAAGAGTTTTCTGTTGGTCACAACATTGACGTTCGTTGTTGCGCATTAAGTTGTTGCTACAAGGACCCAGCACATTCACATTTCTAGCAGCTGAATGAATGTTTCACACTCGCCTGGTATAAATCACAGATCCCCATGTTATTAGGCATCCAATTCCCCTTTTTCCAATGCCCTCTCCATGAAACTGTTGCCATACTGTCGGTTTATTGAATTAGTTGATTATGCCAAGGACAATATGGGGGACATTTTGGACGAAGAGCTTTTCTTTTCGAGCGAATAAATCTCCTGTTTCCAGGGCTTACTCTTAACGATTTCTAGCGCATTTAAATCTTTTACAAGGCCAATTCCAAGTTGCGGTAGGAGGGTGCTTTTCAAGCCATGTTTTCAGGGTTGTGTTCCTTACCAGATCCTTTGATTTACTTACCTGAAACAACAATTTTAATTCACCATTTAAGAGAGGGCCTTAATTACTCGTAACTCCCCAAGGCTGGTGCTTAGTTTCAATTACGTATTGATAACTGACTCCAGGAAAGGCAAATTCAAAACCATGTTTTCAAAGCTGAGCTAATTAGTATTTGCTAGACCGTGATTAACGAAGCAATCACCTTAAGAAGTGTCGCAATCTTTTCTGGGAGTACTAGCGTTTGAGAGGATATTTCTCAGAAAGAGTATACATTGTTCCCTTTCTTCGTTCCTAGAATTCGCATCCATGGCATATTGGAAAGGTTCTGTGAATATAACAATAACAAGAAACTCCCCCGCCTAACGCATTTTACCTTTTGGCTGGCGGCATTTTATTTATATTCTTTCCCTCAATTGCAGCCCAGTCTGCGGACAAAGTTCCCTTAAATGCAATTTGGTAGAAGCAAATCTGATAAACCACTTTTATGCGAATTTCTTTAGGCTGGAGATGGCTGCACTTAAGTTTCATAAATATGTAAATGAATATTCTTAGATCTGAGCAATTAATGGACACAAAAATATTAGCTTGGAATAAATTGTTAACTGAACTAAACTGCCTTTTACTCAAACCTGACTCAATTTGGCTTGCAAGCAGCTATGCAAACGACACTCAGCCCAAAATAAATGCCAAAAACATCATTTTCCGTCCTCGTTTTCAGATTTGGCTTTATACAACTACGATGAATATGATGACGTGCCGTCGCCAAACCGCATATTTTATATGAGCACACATACATCACAATTTTTATGCGCATCCAATGGATTTAAGTATCTCGTATCCGGGCGTGGGGCGCTCAATCCCTTCGGCAGGCAGCGGCACATTTATGCACAGTTCAAAGATCAAAATGAATATTTTATTAGATTGATTCCTGGCTGGCTGACTGCTGAGCTAGCTACAAGAAAAGCATTTTTAAGCGCTCAATCTCTGGCATAATAAACTCCTGGGATAGGGCCAATTGTCTGCTGCCTCAGAAACGCGCACATTCCCAGGCTGATTGAATATGCAGATGTGCGCGGGCATGCCGATAGATGCGTCTTTAATGCTCTGAAAAATCCTAACAGAACAGCTTACCCTCGCAGCAGAAACCCCTTTTCAAAGTTTCCGTCTGCGGACATGTACTATTGGAATCACAACAATAATCTGATTGGCTAATGCAGTGTTTGTATTTCTATAGAACGGTTGTCCGCCAAAAAATCCTTGAGCGGTCCCCAATTATCCCTGAAGTTGGTTGATCAGGCGCCGCTGCCTAGCGATCAGCTTCTGCATCCGGCGCCTCCTCTTCTCCTGGCGCTGCCTGCGCTCCCGACGACGGCGCTCGCGAAGCAGGCGGCGGCGGCGGCGGAGACGCCTGCGTCTCCTGGCAGCCGCCGAGGAAGAGGACGAGGAGGCGGTGGTCGTGGTGGTGGTCGAGGCGGCGGTGGTCGTGGTGGTGGCCGAGGAGGCAGTGGTGGTGGTGGTGGCCGAGGAGGCGGTGGTCGTGGTGGTGGCCGAGGAGGAGGTGGAGGATGAGCTCGACTGCCCACTGCCCTCCTGAGCCAGGAGCAGGCACAGGAGCACTCCGAAGCCAAAAGCGAATAGGAAGCGCATTGTAGTGTGTCTGATCTAGAAAACTGGTCGGCCTTTTATACGCAATCTGGGGCAAAGTTAACATTAATGTTTGTATGTGTGTATATACCATGTAATCGGTAAATACCTGGTGCGGGCTAGACAACACTAAATATTTGCTCAGCTTCTCGTGCTGTCTTCAGCATGATCAAAAATGGTATTGTGCATGTAAGGTCAATTGAGTGGAGCCAACTTTTCCATAACATAATAGTAGTTATCTATGCAAAATTGTGAACCAAAGGTATTGCTATAACTGTGAAGTGTGCGTATCAAGACTTTCAGGGACAAATAGCTGTGCAGCAGGTCCAGAGGGTGGGATAAGGTGTTCGGAAATTTGTGAAGCAGAAGGAGATACAATATATATTATGGATCATTAGACGAGTCGATGTAGCCATGTCCGTCTGTCTGTCGGCCCGCTAAATCTCGGAAGCAATTAGGGCTAGATAGTTGGGATTAATATTACTTAAACGCCCACAAAGTCAGAACGCTAAAGTCTGCCTAACGCAGACATTTTTGAGATTTTATTTAAGCCTAAATTGAAATGGATTTTATTGAACAATTTTTATCTACATTCCAGAAGTCAAACTAATCTCATTATTATTTAAAAAGTTATGAATTACTAAGGTAATAAGTGGTCAGTAACCAACCGCTTCGCTATGCGTCTGAAGAAATGCCCTGAACTTTTACAGTTTCTTATTTGAAAATTGGATAGCTGACTAAAGGTTATCTGATAGTCGAGAACCCTCTAGAATCTACATGCTTAATGCCAGCTTTCTAGCTTTTATAGTTTCCGAGATCTCAGCGTTCATACTGTAAGAATGCAGGGTGCCGGATGTGAAAAATGTAGAAAGTCTATTTATTAAGTAGATCGTATATATGCTTTCGTCACAAAAGTTGATATAAGTAATTTTATGTGTTGAAGGTGCGATCGTCACTAGATTTTTACCTTGTTAAAAGGTGTTTTTGTTTAATATCTGAGGTTTTTGAAAAGTCAGTTAATTTCACAGTGTTAGTTTTTAAATAAGTTGGGGAGTGTAGGCTAAGGTACATACTTGCCAAATCTCTCATGTGACGTACAGTCAAAAATTCCAAAAAATTGAAGTACATTTCACTTATCGTGCCGACAATGTATTTACAATATTTTTATTACAAATTGGCATAATTTCTTCATATGGTAAATATACCTGTTACTCGTAAAGTAAAAGGGTATACTAGATTCGTCATAATGTATGTAAAATGTAAAAGGAAGAGTTTTTGAACCCCTTAAAGTATGTATATACATTCTTGATAAGACTCACTAGCCTGGCATGTAGATTCTTGAGCTTCTCGCCCAATCTAACGCCCGCAAAAGACCATAAGGCTAAAACCCGTCTAGCACTTACACTTTTGATTATTATACCCGTTACTCGTAGAGTAAAAGGGTATACTAGATTCGTAACAGATTGTAACAGATTGTAACAGGCAGAAGGAAGCGTATCCGAGCCGAGTCGATCTAGCCATGTCCGTCTGTCCGTCTGTCTGTCCGTCCGGATGAACGCTGAGATCTCGGAAACTATAAGAGCTAGGCTATTGAGATTTTGCAGATTCCGAAGCTTCTTACGCAGCGCAAGTTTGTTTCAGCAGCGTGCCACGCTAACTTTAACGCCCACAATGCGCCCAAAACTGTGGCTCCTATAGTTTTGATGCTAGAATAAAAATTTTAACTGAAATGTATTGTCCTCATCAGTACCTATTGATTAACCCAATAAAAGTTTGCCAAGCCCACTTTAACGACCACAAACCGCCCACAAACATCAAAAAATCGCAAGTATGAACGTCGATACCTCGGAGACTATCAAAGATAGAGAATGGGGATCTCAAATTTAGATTTCGTAGACTTGAACGCAGCGCAAGTTTGTTATGCGAATATGCCACGCCCATTCTAGTCCACAAACCGTGGCGCCCACACTTTCATGCTAGATACAAAATTTTACCACGCCCACTCTAAGCCCATAACGCTTAAATCTGTCTACCGCCGGTAGGTGGCGCATTCTCGCTTTGCTGCTTTCATATCTCCATTTCCCTTTCGTCCCTTTAGCTGAGTAACGGGTATCTGATAGTCGAGGTACTCGACTATAGCGTTCTTCCTTGTTTTTGAAATATATTTAATACATATAAATTTAAATGAGGTTTTGTTTCGAATGTCAATGTCCAACTACTTTCCCCAAATTGTTCAATTCGGGCTTATTCATTAAAAAGTTATATGCAAATAAAGTGTGCAATCTTAGAACAGATACTTTGTTTCTTGTATATCTCTATCGCCCTCGCACTCGCACTAAGTAACGGGTCTCTGATAGTCGACGGCATCGACTACAGCATTATCTCTTGTTATACCCGTTGGTCGCAGAGTAAAAGGGTAAACTAGATTCGTCGGAAAGTATGTAACAGGTAGAAGGAAGCGATTTCGACCCCATAAAGTATATATATTCTTGATCAGGATCACTAGCCGAGTCGATCTAGCCATGTCCGTCTGTCCGTCCGTCCGTATAAACGCTGTGATCTCGGATTAGGCTTGCAGATTCTGGAGTTTATTATGTAGCGCAAGTTTATTTCAACAAAGTGCCAAGCTCACTCTAACTCCCACAAACCGCCCAAACCTGGGGCTCATACAGGTAAAGTGCTAGAAATCAAATTTTAACTGAATGTATTGTTCTCGTCAATACCCATCGATTGACTAAAAAAAATTTCCCACGCGCACTCAAACGCCACAGTTTTCGCGATGTCCGCGTTCATATTTACGATTTTTTCAAGTTTGTGGGCGTTAAAGTTGGCGTCGCAAACTTTTTTTGGTTCAATCGATAGGTATTGATGAGAACAATACATTTCAGTTAAAATATTTATTCTAGCATCAAATCTGTAGGAGCCACAGTTTTGGGCGGTTAGTGGGCGTTACAAACTTGCGCTGTGTAAGAAGCTCAGGAATCTGCATGCCAAGTCCCAGTAGCCTAGCTCTTATAGTTTCCAAGATCTCAGCGTTCATCCGGACGGACAGACAGACGAACAGACAGAAGGACAGACGGACATTACTAAATCGACTCGGCTAGTGATCCTGATCAAGAATATATATACTTTATGGGGTCGGAAACGCTTCCTTCTGCCTGTTACATACTTTCCGACGAGTCTAGTATCCCCTTTTACTCTGCGATTAACGAGCATAAAAATACGAAACTGGTCATCAATCGAGTATTTGTGACCCGATACTAGTTTAGTGGGGAATCCAAAAAAAATAGCTAGATTTTATATGCTCATAGTTTCTAAATAACGAATGCTACAGATTCGTGCTGTATGTCAAAGTTATGGGCGAGGAAGAGGGCTTCTCGCTCTTTGCATTCTCTCTCTCTCTAAAACTTACCTGCAGCGCATTTTCATGCGGGAATAAGAGACGGAAGGTCGTTTACGTAGTGTTGCAAATAACTAGAAGGCAGTAAAGGACCAAAAATGGTCGGCCAGGGGCTTTACAGCGCTGTAAATCTATCTGAGTCTCATTACTCATAAAAACGGTGGCAAAAAGCCTCCCTCGCTTTTTTAGTGCTTAAAAATACTCTTATGGTAATGAATTTTGCAATTTTTTGTGCAGTGATGAATCGTAGGACATGCTTATCTTAAAATCAGCACCACTTTTCATACAAAAGCAGCGCTGATTAAGCGCTCGGTGATGAAGTGATTCAGTGCATAAAATGGTACTGCTGGTGCTGGTGTGCTGGCAGAGGCCGAGCACAGCTGTTCCAAAGATAATATAGATATGTGTATACATATATTTTACAGACTGGATATTTCCTGTGGGCGCTCAATAAAATAAGTGCCTATTGCGATTTTTTGCGATTTTCCAAGTGTCCTCCAAGTTTAAGACTGTCTATCGCTCTATCAATTTTCAATTTAAAAGCTGAGAAACGGGTATCTCATAGTAGAGATACTCGGCCTTAGCATTCTCAAATGTTTTATTTCAGCTGTTAAATTCAAAATATTGTGTTGGAGTTTTCTAAATATTTTCAAGTGGGGGTCCAAGCGATCTTTATCCGCGTAGCCGATTGATCAGGCGGCGCTGGTATTCCAGTCGCAGGCGCAGTCTCTCAGCTCGGCGCTGCCTCCTCCGCTCCCTACGCTGGCGCTCCCTAGCCAGACGACGGCGGCGGGCACGCCTGCGTCTCCTGGCAGCCGCCGAGGAAGAGGACGAGGAGGAGGCGGTGGTCGTGGTGGTGGTCGAGGCGGCGGTGGTCGTGGTGGTGGCCGAGGCGGCGGTGGTCGTGGTGGTGGCCGAGGAGGCGGTGGTCGTGGTGGTGGCCGAGGAGGAGGTGGAGGATGAGCTTGACTGCCCACTGCCCTCCTGGATGAACAGGAGGCATCCTAGGACGACGAGGACTATTACGAACGAGAAGCGCATGCTGAATGTGTCTTACCTGGGGATATGTGAGCGCTTTTATACTTCTTATCTGCGGGCTGTATGTAAATGTAACTACCTCTATATTACACTTGACATTCACCTCTGTTTGCTCAGCTTTTCAATTTATGTTTTATTTCCTTGGCCAAATATTCTTATATGTAGTTATATTACAACAAAGTAACCCTTAAATTGCGAGTGACGTCACACTTTTATTGTGGGCTTAAATTAAAAGTAAAAATTTAAAAAGCTTTCTCTATGATGTAACTGGTAAGTAAACATACTACTTCGCTGCAACGACCGTTTTTGTTTTGACGTTTCATAAGAGTTATAGGTCCGATTATAAGCCAGAATTTTTCAAAGTCAAATAAAGTCAATGTTTTGCAAAGTATACAAATTTATTTAATAGTAGTACTCATTTTCTGACTTTAAGCCCTTTTAGAGGGTACTTTAAACACGAGACGTTTCCTCCGCTAAATGGGAAGCTGACCAACGCCGCTTTGAAAACTACCGGTTTCAAATTTTTGCAATCGTCAGAAGTTATATTCACCCAGGTGAAATGTAAAAACCT